GTTCAATGAAGCATTAAACAAATGTAAAATGGAACTAAGGCTGTGGATGGGATGTGGGGTGTGGGTGTGCGTATGCGTGTAGGTGTGGGTGTTTATTCACCATATCTTAATTGTTACCTACACCCACACCCACACCCACACCCACACCCACACCCACACCCACACACCCACACCCACCCACACCCACACACCCACACCCACCCACACCCACACACCCACACCCACCCACACCCACACCCTATCATACGGCAACATCGTGCATGCAAACATTTTTTCTCTCTTACCTTCTGTTAACACATGACCGTTATCTTATATTTCCTATACATATGTACAGACTTTTTTTCTTGTTTGAGTTATATTCTTGGTTTCTTTTTATATTCTAATGAATTCTCTTCTTACATTAATAAGATATAAATAAATGTATTAGTCTGAAGGGAAAAACATTTGATATACAACGGAAAATACATCGAGATTGTGTGGGATATATAGTCTTGCAACTAGAGAAGAAAACATCTGCATTGGTATAGATGGCTGCTGTGTGACATTTGTAACATTGGGTTGTGTATTGTAACTTGTTTTGAAGAATATGATACTCCAAAACATTGTTGAATGATCTGAACGTGAACGTATGATATAGAATTTCATAATTTTTTAAAAAGTGTTTGTTTGTATGTTGTCGAAAAAAAAACCGTCTCTAAAGGGCTAAACATATCTGTTAATTACAATATTCAACACAAAAACATATTTTCATTTGAGACGATTACTACAGGTGAAAATAACAACGTCTGAGATATATATGTGACCTTAAAATATTTATTGTGAAGATTAATAGAAACATATTTAGCTATTTTCTCATATGATTATATGATTTATAACCAAATGTATGTACTCTTCTTTTCACTCTTATCTATCAGAGAGTGACTGCTAAACGTTTTAAGAAAAAAATCAAATAGTTTTCAGTTACATTCATAATATTGTGTTTGATTGACACATAATATGCACTAATGACCATAAAATCGTCTTTTTCTACATTCTTCAGAAACCTATTTTCGTAGGTTTAGTAGGAAATTAAGTTTTTTAAGGTAAGCTACAGGTTCCTAAGTCAATGAGCAAGTGAATAAGTTTTTGTAATAAAGAAGTGTTATATATATATACAGGGTGGTCCAAAAGTCATGCACCAGAAAAAAAAAAGAATATCTCTATAACAGGTGTAGCAAATTGGCTGATTTTTTTACCACTAGTAAACGCATGTTCATACTCCATATCCATAAAGACAAGGCGAGAGTGAACCTTTTTTTTAAGTATCATCATTGACTTCAACAGAAAATTTTAATTTTTCACAGATAGGAAAAAAACAATTTAGAGGGTAGTGCAAAACGCACTTTATCGAAAATAATTGAATCTCTCAATTATGGCTCGAGCAAACTAACTGATTTTTTTATTAATGCTTGAGGCATGTTCTAGATTTATATCTATAAAGGCATGCCTTCAGAGATTCTTTGTTAAATATGTTGTTTTTTTTCCATCTGTAAAAAAAGTAAAATGTTTTTGTTGCGATTAATAGTGACAGTTAACAAAGGAATTCTCTAGGCATACCTTTATGAATATAAAGCTTGGACATGCCTCTAGTATTGATAAAAAAATCAGCTAGTTTGCTCTAACTGTAATAGAGATATTGGATTTTTTTTTCGGGTGCGTGACTTTTGGTCCACCCTGTATATGCTTATTTTCATTCTGTTCAGATCAGATTTTTTCCACCTATCACAACTAGACATTAACTAACTAATACAGTATGTCTAGTTTTCTATACGTCGCTACGCATTAAAATATAATAAATATGTCTCGGATCATTGGTGAACAAATACAACATATTAAGAAGGTATTTGAATAGAAACTGAGCATTCATATAAGAAAAATAATGATGATATTTTAGACGGTTGAACAATTACATATTCGGGAGTCAAATGATAGTCCGTAAGTGATTATTTATGTATATCTTTAAATAAGGTATGATTGTTTCATTTAAGTGTTGGTACATTAACTCGACAATATGGTTTCATGAAATTCAATGATGATGAACTTGATGAAACTACTCGTCTTTCACAATATATTCGTTTAGCTCTTGTTACAGATGCTGAAACAGTTGTTAAATTTATGAAGGATGCTTGGCGTTTACGTACACCTGATCTAATTATTTCAATAGCTGGTGGTGCTACACGTTTTGATCTTTCAGCGCGTCTTAAAAAAGCTTTTCAACTTGGTTTAGTTTCAGCTGCTGCAACTACAAGTAAATCATAATATTCTTTTTCAATATTACACAAAAATCAATTTCAATTTAATTGATTCTTCCATAGATGCATGGATCATTACTGCTGGAAAAAATACAGGTGTCGTCAAAGTAGTTGGTGAAGCTCTTAGTAAATATCGTTATAAGCATCAAAAAGATGGCATTGATATCCCGTGTATTGGTATTGCTAGTTGGGGTTATACAGCAGGTAAAGACCAACTTGATCGATCAATGTCAATAAAAAGTAATTATGGTAATATAATTGATGCAAATGGGACAAATATTTCATCAAAAAAATATCAACATAATATAGCTATTGACGCTATTCATATGGTAAATATGAAAAATACGTTTTCTATTCGTTAAATGTATTATTATTATTATTAATAGACCGGAGATGCAGTCTATGCTATACAAACATATGTTGTTAAAGAGAAAGCAGAAAATACATGCGATTTAGAACCAAATCATACACATTTTTTATTGTTTGATGATGGTACATCAAAAGCAGAACATGTTCTTTCATTACGAGCCGGTATTGAAATGTATTCAAGACGTATAAATACAGAAGAAACAATAGAAGGAGCTGTACATACACTTATACCTGTTGTCATGGTTCTATTTGAAGGTGGTCGATCATCAATTCAAACTCTATGTGAAGCACTTGATTCAAATACTCCAGTTGTAGTTGTTAAAGTGAGCAAAATGACTTCGGATTGAAAGTATATATATGTCTAGATATTCTCTATTTTATTTCAGGAATCTGGTCGTGCTGCTGATCTAGTAGCTGATTTACATGCATGTTTTTCAAAAAATGATATCGGTTATACATGTGATTATGATAATGAGAATGTTCAGAATTCATCTCGAGTGAATTTTGCTAAAACTGATTTACATATAGCTGAAATTGATGTAATGTAAGTCTATCTTAAAAGAGGATGTAATATATGAACTGTTAGATGATAAATAGATTTGCAAAAGCGCGTCTACACAGTCCATGGGTTGATAGTGTTAAAGATGATTTATGTCGAATATTAAATAAGTGTCATCACCTTGTAACTATATTTAATTTTGACAGTGAACAATATCATGGAAAATTAGAAGAATCTATACTTGAAGCTGTATTTAATGGTTTGTCATCAAGAGAATCGTCTAAATAGAGATGATAGTCTTTTATTTTTTTTGCTTTTAGCTGCAAAAATATCTCATGAATCAAATGAACAACATCGATCTGCGGCTGAATTGAAATTAGCATTAGTAACTATCGATAAGATAAATAATTTTTGATTAAGAATTTTTTAGGCTTGGCATAATGTTGAATATGCACGTCGAGCAATTTTTACAGATTCTAGTAAAGCCCCCCCCAAAATAGACGGCCACCCTATATTAGAAGGCCACCCCCTGTATAAGGCCATGTCCGAGCAAGAGTTCAAACGCTCTATTAGAAGGCCATGTACTAATTAATTAATATATTCCAAAATTATCGAAATTTTCATAAATATTAATTAATAATTAAGGAAATATAACCGATTTTCTAATGTTTTTTTGCGAAATCCTTCCTTTCCTATCATAAATAGTACAGTTTTTACAAAAAATGGTAGTTTTTTCAGCAAAAAACACCTAAAAAGCAATAATTAAAGTTATTAATTAATTATTAATTTTTTAAATGATTTTAATTAAAAACTGGCCAAAAATTGACTCTCAATAGAAGGTCATCCAAAAAGTAGCGATGTGCCAAGACACTGTATAAGGGCATGCCCTTTTATTCTGGGAGGGGGTTTATATCAAAATGGAGAGTTAGTCAATAGATTTATTTGAATTAAAAATTTGATTGTTATTATTTGAAGGATGAAGACCTTCGTCAAGCTTTACTCGATGCTTTTCGTCGTGGATATGTCGATTTTATTGAACTCTTTATTGAATATGGAATAACTCTTGAAAAATTAACTATTAAAGATCTTGAATATTTATATACAAGTGCATCTGTATGTTCATTTCCAAAAAAAAATTCAATCAATTTCAAGTTTTCTCATAGGTAGATAAAGCGTTACCATTAAGACAGATTGGATATACTGCATTGACACGAGATAAATTTTATGTAAATTATTTGAGAAATCATTTGGAAGTAAGTAGTATTTTGATTATTGATGAATAATCAATAGAATATAATTAGACATACAATGACAAAAATGTACCATTGGAAAATTATGCTGTACGTGAGCTATTTTTCTGGGCTATATTTCTTGATCGATTTGATCTTGTATTATATCTCTGTTCAAAAACATGGGTAAAAAAAAAATTCTTATTATTTATAATGGATTTTTGTGACATTAGATTTGTTTTTTTTTTTTTTTTTTGAGAATCAATCGGTTGCTCCATTATTTGGTGCACGAATCTATCGAAGTGCAGCGGCGATGACACTTGATTCTGAAACTAAGGAGCAATATGAAAAAAATGCTACGTAATAATATTATTAAACATTTTAGTTATTAAAAATAATATTGATATCGTTTTCGTATAGTAAACTTGATAAATATGCTGCATCGATTATTGATCGATGTTTTGAGATTGATAGAGATTTTGCATTTAATATTCTAACACGACCTGCTGATGCGTTTTATAATATATATCCGTTGAAATTAGCATTACAAGCAAATTGTCGAGCATTTCTTGGTTCAAAATGTGTACAAAAATATCTTGATAATGAATGGTACGCCATGATATATATATATTTATTGTGTTTAAATAATATTTGCTTTTCTACAGGTTTGGAAATATTAATTACAAACGACAAAATATTCATATACGAGTAATTCAATTTTTATTTGATAATTAAATATGTATAGGATAATGATTTTAATTTAGCTCTTCCTTTGTACCATTTGTATTCCGTTGTTACCGTTTTTTTGTGGTACTTTACCTTATTTACATCGACGTCAACCGGTTAGTATCTTATTGAGAATAGAAATTTTCATGAACTTTTTGTTCTGATATTATATGAAATGACAAAAAAAAATATTTGTTTGATTGATCTAAAAAAAAAAAGATTTCTCTAGGGAACTAGGTATTACATGTAACAAATTAAGGCCCATTAAAAATGAAATTCATTGATAATTCAAATAAAGATCATTGACTATAGAATTATGATAGTTTTTAAAATTTCACAGAGTTCAAATATTGGAGTATGTTCATGGAATCTCGCTAGGTGATCCTACAACACTTCCAAATCCAGTGAAACTTTTAGAGCTTGCAGAACTCGTTGCACTGATTATTTTCGTTACAGAGTTTTTGAAATTTGGTCTGACTTCCATACATCCTATATATAACTCATGATTTTCTACGAATAAAACAGCGAGTGTGATTCTATCGCTTACAGCTTCATTCATCCTTCAAATCGACAATCTAGAGTTAATCATCTATTACGATCGAATAATTTCGATGAAAATCAGTAAAAAAAATGACTACCGTAACGATCACCGTTTTCGATACATCATAAAGGTGATCGTAAACGGCAACCGTTTGTCGGCTTATTTCACCATGGGACGTTGTATTGGAAACGATGGTCGCAAATATGGCCGTTTTTCACCGATTGTTGCACGTCTACTGCCGTTTATAGAACATTATGCATGATACGAGTTTTTTCTCTGCTACGTCATATAGAAAACAATTAAACTATTAGTAAGAGCATGAAAACATATCCGATTTCTAACGATTCTGATGCAGCTTTTCACGAAGAATCTGAATATAGAATTGATTTTCTAATTTGACTAGATTAGAATGAAATATTATCTATTTTTTCGATAAAAATATATCTGTCATTGTTTGCATAAATGAGGGCAAAATAATGCATTTTATGTATGGAATGCATAATATGCATTGTTACTATTTGATGTGCATCTTTATGGAAACCGGTTCAAATCTCAAAAAAAATCTATAACCAAAATGATCAGTGCAATGGGTTCTGCAAACTCTGAAAGTTTCATTGGATATGGAAGTATCATAGGATCAGCTGATGAAACCTCACAGATAGACTCATTGTCATCAGTAATAATACCAGTAACAAAGCTGATAAATTGAGGGTTATTTGTTGGCTGAGATATTTCCAGCTTTCTACTACTATGTCGCAGGTGCTTGGTTTGACATCTAGCTAGATATTGATTCAGTACATGGTCACTCAAAGCCTTCAATTGAAAACATTTCTACAGGTTAGCGAATCGAGCATATAAGAGCATTTTATTTGCAAATACTCAGATATCCATCGGATATTCGAAAATATTCAAGTATTGAAAAGTATCGTAAAAGTCAGTACTACTAGAAGCGTGCGTAATAAAACGGAACAAAAAATATCTTTTCACATTTTCTCCATGGAAATTCAATTATTTCGATTGCTTTTTGTTTATCAATCGTGGATTAAGCATTTCTTTCAAATTGTGTACATAAAGTCCTTGCGAACAACATTGGTTTTTTGTTCAGAATTCTTTGTCTAGTGTAACTGATCGCGTTATAGGCTGCGATCTTTTCTTTTGATATTTATAAAATATTTTTCCCTTGGGCTTGTAATGGATAATTATATTCTATTATTACTATTTAAGTTCAATCCAAATTCTACTATTCGTTCCAAGAATCCCAATTCTGATCCAAATCCTACCAAGTAAATAATAATATTTATCTTATTCTTTATTTATTTTTGATCTTTTCTATTCAGTACAACTAATATCCAATGGTCTGAAAAAATTATTTATTTTTATAAAGCACCAATTGTTAGATTTTATTATAATCTTGTACGTATATATCATATCAAATTTGAATACAATAAAACAATTGCTTTGTTTATATATTAGATTTTTTTTTTCATTTTTCTTGGATTATTCAGTTATGTTCTTCTCGTTGATTATTTTCCTTTAAATACCTATCATGGACATCATTCAAGTACAAAAGATTTACCATTACCAATTATAGAAATTTGTCTTCATATTTGTGTATGGGGAATCATTATTGAAGAAATTCGTCAAGTAAATAATTGATAAGACATTTTTTTATGAGAGAATTGTTTTTGTTAAAGTTTTTTTCAATTCATTCATATGTTGAATATTTGGCTGATATATCAAATATAATTGATATTACTGCTATTATTTTATATCTGTTTGGTTTTATGACAAGATTTATAGTTATCGAAACATTTTTTATGATTTCCAAGTAGATTTTTATTTTCTAGAAAAGTCAAAAATGAAAATGTCTATATTTGTAGAATTACTTTTGGTCTTGATCTTATTCTTTGGTATATAAGAATACTTCATTTATTCGCTGCTTATGAACGATTGGGACCAAAATTAATTATGATATTTAATACGGTTGGTTAAAATTTATTTTTCATTATCATAACATTCATTAACTGAATCTCTAGATGAAAGATTTACTTTTCTTCGTATGTTTTATCCTTATTTTTCTTTTGGGTTTTTCAATAACATCATGATCGTTATTAATAACATCATCTCAAGTGACATGGATTTATGACAATAATGGAAAATTATTGAATATAACAATAGTCGATAATGATTCACATACATGGGATTGGAAATTATTACGAGATATGACGAATTATGGTGTTTGGAAAGTTTTTGGACAAGTTGAACCGATCGGTAGAAATAAGTTTTATTTGCTTTATTTGTTAATTTGATTTTTTAAACTATGCTCTATAATAGATGTTTGGAATTAAGCTAAAATGTCATCTTTTGAGAATTACTTATTAGTTTACAAAAATTTTAGTTGAAGACAGGGTCGAATAAATAATTTTCAAGTTGAGACTAATTATCGAAAATTTTTTTGAGTTAATATGGAAAAAATATTGAATAACCTTTCTATCAAAGTTATGATAGGATTCCACCAGAACCTTTGCCTATATATCAAATGAATTTACATAATAGACGGTAGCTGCAGAAAAAAAAATCAATTTTCAGAAATCTTTTGTTCTCTATAACGACCTTTTATCGCGGATCTTAATTTAAAAAGATGACTTCTTGTTGTATTTCTCTTTGTAGAAAGTGACAATTCATATTCAGCAGTCGCATTTGTCTTAGCCATTCTATTTGTTACAATATCTAATGTGCTTCTTCTTAATGTACTTGTTGCTTTATTCAAGTAAGAAAATTTTCTCATCATTGATTATTTTATTATTTTTTCTATCTGTTCTAATAGTGTTACTATTCAAAATGTTCAAGATCAATCACGTAATTTATGGTGTTATCAACGTTTTTTATTAGTTAATGAATTTTGAAAAAAAAGTTTATTTCCACCTCCATTTAATACATGTTTTTGTCTTGTTGCCACTGTAATACATTTTATTACACGTCATCAAGAACGATATCGAACTCATCAATCTAGTAATTACTTTTGACTTTTCTATTGATAAATTTTAGTTTTTCTATTATTTAAATAGTTAGCGACGAAAAACAGTCGATTGATATTGTTAGAGTAGTAAATAACTCATCTGATCAACAATTCAAAAGTAATGCATATTGATTTTTATTTCAAGAATAAATGTCTGTTTTTTAATTTTTATTTCATTAGTTACTGATTTAATGAAACGTGAGAGTGCAATAGCTGAAGACTTTTGGAGTGATTTATTGAAACAAATTGAAGAACAAAAGAAATGACAATTTCATATTTTATTTTCTTTTTCTATACCAAGTATAGATATCTATTCTCAATAAAATTGACAAACAAAATGTAATGAGAACTAATGAAACACTGTAAAAAAAAAGAGTTCACATAACAATTTATAGTGCAGATGTTTATGTCAAAGCCTTAAAAGTTTTAAGATAGGTGCACACTTCAAATTGCAACCAGTTCATTGATAATATGATTAAAAAGCTATTAGCGCCATTCTTGTGGGATTAAAATGTGATGCGATGAAACTTCTTATATTGAAAATGGGAGAATTTACAAACGTATGCTCCAGTTTATGACCTCTTGGGAGCGGCCGAATGAGAGAGCAGGTGGGAGTGAGATGTGAGTGGATGGATGATGTGGAGTTTCATCCCCATCCTTAACATAACTCACCCGCTACTTTCATCTATCCTTACCTGCTCTCAATATTCGAATGCCTACAACAATTGATCTGTCGACTATCACTCGTTTCTTGCGTGAACTCGTCATCATTTGATATTGAAGCTGACGAACTCGAAGCAAGATATTCTGGCCTCGGATTACCAGTTTTTGAAAATATAGGAATCGGTATAGGATTTCGTTTTGTAAATTACAGGATTTTCACTTGAAAAATGACAAAAATATAGGATTTTTAAGTGCGTTGTTTCTACTCATAAATCTAACTTTCCTAACCCCGCCGTTTGAGATATGTTTTTAATAGAGTTAGCATGAATGGCTGGAGCATTCTAAGGACACCTATCTTGTTTCTACTAAAGTAAACAGCTAATTCAATTATGGTTTCAAAGTTCACTTAGAATATATTTTATTTACATATCAGCAAATGAAGAATATAGATCATAAAGTTCGAAAAAAAATAAACAAAGTAAAAAGAAACCAAATAGTATTTTTCATAATTAAATTTCAATAATAAAAATAATTTGAAATTTATACATACACTAAATGTAGAACATGGATTCTTTATATAAATTTAAATCAATCTCAGATATGAGTAGCAACAACAGAAAAAAATATACGAAATCAACAATTGATTTTAGCAGAGATGTTTTCCACATTTAATATCATTTGTACAATACAGATATCAAGATGTAGTAGAGATGTTTCCACATTCAATATCATTTGTACAATACAGATATCAAGATGTATTAAATAGTTATAGTTGAAATTTTTCGGGCTTAATGAACCCATCATCAGAACAGAATAATTTTCTATCAATTTCATTATGATTGTTGTTTTTAATGGAAAAACGATATGAATGAGATATAATTAATAGAATCATATAAATAAAAATAAAAATAAAACTAATTCATGAGCAAGGTTAATATCTAATTCAAGATCACCATCAGTGATAATAATAACACCACCAGGTGATGTATAACCAGTAGCAATAACACCTTCTGATGTATAACCATCAGTAATATCATTAGCACCACCTAGATTTAAAACACCACAAATTAAACTAATAGCACTACGTGATTTTTTTTTGTTGACCACCAATAGGATTAATAACACCATTAATAGAATAAATTGAATAAATAAGATTAATATTTGTAATTGTTGTTGTTCGTTTTTGTGTCTAAATAGAGAAAATGCTAGCATTTATATGGTTGCTTTTAACTGATACATACATTAAATAGATTAATAAATATATGAGATATGTATATATAATAAATCTAGTGGAAAGAAGAGCAACATGATCTAATGTTGAAATCAAATATTGATTTTAATATATTGTAATTTTTTGCGTTGAATGGGTATGATGACAACGAAGAAAGTGAATCTATATGAAGTGTAAAATTTTTTTTTTAATTTTAAATGATAATAATACTTCATAAATAAAAATAATAATAATAATAATACATTGAAGAACACAACGGGTCGGAATTGTACCACTTGTATCGCGTGCATAACATTCACCAGAACCTGTACGAAATGGTATAATAGTAATAATTTTTATATGTCTAAATAGAGAAAAATATGTTGGACATACAAGTTATAAACCAGCAACATTGTCATACTAACATTGAGTTCAGTACATGATGGTCTAAATTAAGATAGAATAACAGCATATTGAATAGAGGTTATTATTGAATACATACATGTATGAGAATAATAAAAAACGAATTTTCATAGAATGATGAGAATAACATTGGATGTAGTGATATCAGTATTTGTATCACGATAAATTTCATTTGTTTTCATTTATACCATTTGTTTATATGATAATTGTTCTCATGGCGTAAAATATCTAAGGAAACGCACTGTGTAACGCGTTTCCAAGATTGGGGCATGCGTTTTGCAGCGTTTCTTCGAGACGGAATGCGTTTCACAGTATTTTTACTTATATAGAACGCGTTTTGCTGCCTTGAGTTTTTGAAACGATACGAAACGCTTCTTTTTGCGATTACGTTTCGAAGCGTTTCCCAAATGAAACGCTGTTAAACTCATTAAGTCGACAAGAAAAGTATTGTAGAGAGTCACAACTCGGAGAAAATGCGAAACATGTTCTTTTAAAATGCATTTGCATCGGTTACGCTTCGAATGATGCAAAACTGATCTCTTTTGTTGGAGCATCTCGAACCAATTCATCTTCAAAAAGCATGTGAGTTAAGAAAAGTCAGCTCTGATATGATTTTGGAAATTATGCGAAATGGTTTGCAAAGAATTTGCTGATTGCATTGTTTTTGATCCTCAAGATGGCGGCGCAGGTCTTCCTTAGCCAAGGTCAGAATTAAGTTCTTCTAAAACTTCAACGAATTACGCCGTTTTTTAAGGCTGTTTCGAAGTCAGGCTAGTATTGAACATCAGAGTGTATTCTACAGTTATCTTCTGTTAGAAAACTCATTTCACTACGTTTTCATTCAAAGAAATGCATTTCGTAGCATTGAATCTAGAATTCTGTAAAATGTTGAAGAATTTGAAGAAATTCAGTAAAGACTGATGCAAAAATAATCCGTAGGACAGCTCAATGTTGTTGTGTGAAAAAAGTATTTACGGATAATTTACGATTTATAATAATAATTATTGATAATTTATGTATGGACTGCGTTATAGTAACTGATTATATACTCTCCGAAACATGACTAGAATATCACTTCCGTTCGTACACTATCGATGTATGTAAATGCGGCTTGTTGATAAAAGAGGTTCGAATTACAGAAAAAATATTTTTGTAGTTATGATTGCACTTGGATTTACTGATCATGGATTTACATTTACAAAAAAACATTCAATTCAACAAAAACTTTGCAAATTTTGCAAAATTAAGATTACAGTTCTTTTGAATTTAAATTTACGAAATTTAATCTTTTTAA